TTGCATTTGAAAGGGTTGTCCCAGCCATGGTGACATAGAACTCAGGGAGGGAGGGAGTCAGAAGAAGGGAGTTTAACTTAGTAGGGTTAAAAGATCAACGGAGCCAAAACCGGTTTGGCTCAGTGGATAGAGCATCGGCCTGCGGACTGAAAGGTCCCAGGTTCGATTCCGGTCAAGGGCATGTGCATTGGTTGCGGGCACATCCCCCAAAGGGGGTGTGCAAGAGGCAGCTGGTCCATGTTTCTCTCTCATCGACGTTTCTAACTCTCTATCCCTCTTTCTCTCTGTTAAAAAAAAAAAAAAAATTAAAAATAAAATAAAAGGAGGCATATTGAGAAATGTTAAGAAATTTTTTTTAGCACAAATGGATTCAAATATTTGGCCCAGCTGTGGGCAGATGAGACCGGGGCCGCTAGTAAAGAGAAGCGGACCTCTGATGGGACGGGAGGGGGAAGGGGGGAGCCGGTGCAGGTGTAACCTCCTCACAGGGACCCCAGTGCCAGGGGAGCTGCTGGGTTGGGTACCACCCCTGCAGAGGCCGGTGGGGCCGCCACGTGTCCACACCAGCCCGCAGCCAGGGAGCCAGGTCAGTGCAAACAGCCCGGGGGCAGGAGCCCAAAGTGCACACACACAGCCTGTGTCCTCGCTGTCCTCCTACCCTCGCGCCCAAAGCTGCGGGCACAGAGGGGGTCGGGGTCTGAGCTGCAAGACCACGCCCCTCCCTCTGGCCTTAAAGGTATACACACCCAACTGTGCTGGGAGAGGGGTGGCCAGGGCGGGGGAGGAGGGGAAGGGAGGGCTCTGACTTTAATATGATGAGATAGACCTTTTAAGATGGTTTCACGTGAACAGGATTGAAAGCCCTTTAGGGAAGGAGAGGAGGGACTGAAAGTTAGGAAATCAGGAGGAGCCTTCTTGCCGGGAGCCCGCCCCCTAGCTGGACGGAGCAGAATTGGCAGCAGATGAGACCGACTCTCAGGGCCGCATCCCTCACCCCACGGGGGCTCTTACCGCCTCCCCTTACAGATGGAGCTGGCTCCACTTGCTCAGTGACTCAGCCAAGGTCATGTCTACACAAAGGCGGTGCTGAGACTGAAGCCCAGATGCCCCCGCTTCCAAGCCGGGGAAGATGGTAGCGAGTCTCCTGGCAGCCACGCGGGGGCGCCTTCACGGTGGGCTGGAAGGTTGGGGGTGGTGAGGAGGAGGTGAGGGGTAGGCTCTAAGGGGTGACTCTAAGGAATGTAACCTGCCTGGTGCAGGTTTTATGGTGTGAGCTGATTGCTCTCTGGTTTAGGAAAACCTGCTAGGACTAAGGGGAGAGAGCCTTAGGTCCAGTCCTGGCCAGCAGGAGAGAGTCTTCAGCAGAGTGAGAGTCCGGATGTAACCTGAGCCCTTTGCCCCAGCAGGTTTGACAGCCCAAGGGTTGGTAAAAGCGTGTGATTGCGAAACAGAGAGGTGGTTCCGGGCTCATGCTCTTGGCAGAAGCAGGCTTGTGGGACGGGCATGGAAGGATTGCACACTAGCTTCCCCTTGCCTCCTCTCCCTTCCAGCTCTGCCACGGGGGACCCTCAATCCGCAGTCCACCCAGGCACGGGAGGGCTGGTGCTGGGGAAAGGCAGGCCCACAGGGCCAAGGCACTCCCAATGAGCTTGAACCTGAACTTGCTAACACCTAGCTGGCCTGCCCTTGGCTGAGAAGTTTTCCCTCATCGGTGGCATTTCCTCTTGGTCTCTGGCCTCTTGAAAACACATCAGGCACTAACTGGTTTGGCTCGGTGGATAGAGCATGGGCCTGCAGATGGAAGGGTCCCCAGTTCATACCTCAGTTGCAGGCTTGATCTCTGTGCCCGACCTACAGGAGGCAACCAATCGATGTGTGTCTCTCATTGATGTTTCTCTCTGTCTCTTCCTCTCCCACTCTCTCCAAAAATCAACGGAAAAATATCCTCGCCTGAGCACTAACAACAATAAAATAATAATAAAAAAACAACACACACACACACACACACACACACACACACTCAAAAAATGACTCCAGACTAACTAAGGTAGACTCTAGATAATGGGACTTGGTGGGAGGTCTGCCATTAGGGGAGTGGCTGTGCAGCATCTCACACCACACAGCCTCTGCTTCTTACGGTCTGTGACTCCAGGTCACCTGGTGCTTCTTCCTCCTGTCACTCCTCTTCAGTGCCCTCTGCTACCTTCTCCTCCATCTACCCCACCTCTCCTAAGTAAGGATTGGGGACATCCTTGGGGATTCTTCAATTAAGTAAATTGGGAGTTTTCCAGACTCATTTTGAACCCTGTCTTCTCTCTACACACTGCATAGGTGACCTCCTCTTTCCTCATTCTTTTTTGTTTTTTATTATTAAGGTATTATATGTGTACATATCTTACCATTGCCCCCCACCCCACTCCCATACATGCCCTCACCCCCGAATGTTTTGCATTCATTGGTTATTCTTATATGCATGCACACAAGTCTTTCGGTTGATCTCTCTTTTCTCCTCCTTTGGAAAAGAAGGGACATACTCATGACACCTAAATTCCTAAGTCCAGCCCAGAACCTATCCTCATTTTCCCACATGTCTATTTGATGTCTTGATTTCTGTGCCCCGTGAACATCTCAAACTCAGTCTTCTCCAAACGGAACTTGGGGTTTTCCTTCAGTAAATCCTATTGGTTCTATCTCCACAGTATGTATCAGATGTGCTCACATTTTCTCCGCCTCCCTGCTTCCACTCTTGCTTGAACTGACAGCATCTTCCCCACTTGACCTTGCCATGGCCCACTTTCCCATGACATTGCCTCTTCATGTGATTCTCAATTCATCCTCCTTAGAACAACGGGAGTAATCTGGTTAATTTGCAAATCGAAATAAATTTAGTCTTATATGTAAATCCCTTAATGGCTATTTATTATATTCAGAATGAAACCTAGTACGGTGCTATGGCTTGGCCCCTATCTACCTGTATTAGCCATTAGTGCTGCTCACCCATGCTTCCATTTCTTCTCTCCTTTTTGGCATATGGGATGATTGTACTTTCTCATACCCTTCACATTGAGCTATGACCATTGACTTTCTTTGGACAATGAAATGGGAGTAAAAGTGATGAGAGTCAGCACATGACTCTTAATGCATAGCTTCTTCTCCTGCCAGTATTGATAAGGTGGTGTCACAAGGTTAAATCAGCCTGAATTGCTGGTAAATATTAATAGATGCAGGAAAGCTGCCCTGGCCTGGGAGTTGGCCCAAATCCGCAGTAGACTTCATGAGTGAGAAAAAAAGATTCTGTTGTGAGATTTGGGGGGTTGTTTCTGCAGCAAAGCACAGCCTATCCTGACCAATACATTATAATAAGGAGGCTTTGGTGGAGAATCCTCTTAAAAACAAAATCAAAGGACACAGTGTTTTTCAGAAATTTTTCATTAGACTATTAAAAAATTAACAATGAAAAAAAATTAACAACAAGCTCTTATTAATTACAAAAGGAATCTCCAAATTGGAGTGAGTTTCTGGATGGTCCAAGGAGCAGGCACATGTTTTTTTTTTTTTTACTTGTAATGACAATCCTGGAAGGGGATTGGCAAGACTGTGTCCTGGGGTGTGTGGGAGAGAGGGAGGGGTGAAACTTTACAGAGAGAGGGGATTTATATGAGGAAAAGGCACCTTAGATGTGTTTAAATATCATTACTGAAGTCAAACATTAACCAGGAAAGTCATACTTTATTCCCCATTACACCCAAGTAACACCTGCTGTGCTTTCTCTTAGGTTTAAAATATCCCAGAACAGTGGTCGGCAAACTCATTAGTCAACAGAGCCAAATATCAACAGGACAACGATTGACATTTCTTTTGAGAGCCAAATGTTTTTAAACTTAAACTTCTTCTAACGCCACTTCTTCAAAATAGACTGGCCCAGGCCGTGGTATTTTGTGGAAGAGCCACACTCAAGGAGCCAAAGAGCTGCATGTGGCTCTCAAGCTGCAGTTTGCCGACCATGGTCCCAGAAGGCTCAGAGTGATCCAAATTTGGCTGAAAAGGGAGCAGTTTGTGGGAAACATATTTTCTAAGCAGGATCATTTCTTTGGCTGCTTCTGCTCAGGCTGCTGTTACTATAGATTGTCAATGATTGGCAGTGTTTACTAATGCAATTTGGAGAGAGGAAAGAGATAGGGAGGAAAAGAGAGATGACAGACAGCTAGAAAAGTAGAAGGGAAGGAAGGAAGGAAAGAAGGAAGAAAAGGAAGGAAGGAAGAAGGAAAAGAGGGGGAAAAGGAGGGGGAAAGAGTGGGGGAAAGGGAGGGAAGGAGGAAAAGGGAGCGAGGAAGGGAAGGACAGGAGGAAGTAAGTCTGTGATGATACTGGGATGTGCAGTCTCGGTGAGAAGTGAGAGATGAGCAATCCTTCCTCAGACTCACAAGGTGGTACCGGCGGCATTGGCATCGTTCCGCCCCTCCTTACCCAGGGTGACCATACTTCAGGAAGCTCAAGCTGAAATGGTGTGGTCACTAAAGTGAATGAAGTGAGCTGGCCTCCAGGCAGAGCAACAGAGAATGCCAATTCTCAGAGCCCATCTTCCCCAGAAGATGGGGGAAACAAGATTCTCCACGTTCGTTGACTCCGGGGCACTGCTACGGCATTCCGTTGGCCAGGGTCCCTGTTCTATGTTTCAAGCTGGTCCCCTGTTCTAGGGACTGAGCCAGTGTCCTCCTGGGCCTGCCTAGGGAATGGGCCTCTGGGCTCCGTGGCCATGAAGCAGTGTCCTCTCGTGTGAGCAGAGCGGCTGCATGGATCGGACAGGCTCTTTCCTCCGGGACTGTGAGCAATCTGCTCTGGACAAGCTCTTCTTTTCTGAAGGCCAAGACCACGTGCCCGCTGCGGGGTCCATTTCCCACAATCCCTACAGGGAGTTAGGCCAGCTCTGCTCATCGCTAGGGGTCCTGTGATGAGACCAGAGCTGGCCTCAGGCTGGGCATGTGGCTGAGGACAGAGCTTCAGGGTGGGCCGTACAAGCCCAGGTTCCGGGCAGCCTGGGAGATCCTGGGAGCCTTCCTCTGGGGGAAGGGGTAGTGCGCTACTTTCCCAGGCCGTTGTGGGTTCCTTATGGGAGAAGGGCCCGGAAGGCCATTGTGTAGGCCGGAGCCCAGGGTCTGGGTCTGGGGATTGTCCACTCGATGTTCCTGCTGGGCGGCCCCTGGGGTCGTGGCCTCTTGCGGAGTCCCCTGCCTGTTTTCCAACAAGCCCGGGCCTCTGTCCTGAGGAAGCCGTAGCTCAGTCCCCGGGAATGGGCCTTGGCTGGCGTCCCGGTGGGGGCTCTGGACGGAGCAGTGCATCTGCAGGTGTGTGTGCCACGGAGACCGGGGCACCTGCAGCCAGCCGGCGTCCGCCTCCTCCAGCAGCGCCGCGGCCGCGGGGTCCGCCTGGTCCGGGGACAGCGAGTGCCTCCGCTCCTTGTTAATCCACACGGCACTGACCATGGACTCGGCAGCAGCAGGTGTGTTCCCTCCTGAGGAAGCAAGGCACAAGCAGGGTCACCGTCGGAAGGGACCTGGGCAGCTCTGCTAAAGAGGGTAATGCCCCCAATATCACAGAGGCCAGGGGCCCAGGATGTGGCGTGTGTGTGCACACATGTACGTGGACACACACATGACCACACGTGTGCACTCCTAACCTCACCCACTCACATACACCCATGCAAGCTGTCTCTCTCTCTCTCTCTCCCTCCCTCCCTTCTCTCTCTCTTTCTCTCAATTATTCTTTCAACAAATATTTACTTATATGCCAGGTCTTATTTATGCTAGGTCCTGGTAATACAGCAATGAACACATACCTTCATGTGTTCTAGTGGGGTAGAAAAACAATAAGCCAATGAATATAAATAAATGTAGGTAGGGGACCAATGATATGGAGAAAGATGCAAGCACAATAGAATTGAATAACAGGCCCCAGTTTTTAAAAAATATGTTTTTATTGATTTTTAGAGAGAGGAAGGGAAAGGGATAGAGAGATAGAAACATCAATGAGAGAGTAACATCATTGATCTGCCTGCTTCCTGCATGCCCTCCCACTGGGGGTCAAGTCTCAATCTAACTGGGGCATGTGCCCTGACCAGGAATGGAACTGGCGACCTCTTGGTTCCTGGGTCGATGCTCAACTACTGAGCCACACCAGCTGGACTAGGCCTCAGTGTTTTCCTGCATCAGGAGGAGTGAGCCAAGGAGGAGCTAAGGAACTAGCATTTCAGCCTGAACGAATGTCAAGGAGCGAAGACACACACGTGGTCACCCCGTCAGGATTCACATACGGCACCATGGGAAAGTCTTCACTCCCGGGCCGTGTGACCTGGGATTCTGACGAGGGGTTTCCCACTCAAGGCGAGGAGGGAGGCACTGTGTCCAAGCAGCTCCTTTTGGGGGTCTGGCCCTTCTCCTCCCGTCCCACAGACTCTGCTCTGGGGGCACCCTGGCAGCACCACTACTTCCCTGAACAGCTTTGGGGTGAGCGTGCGGACCAAAGCTTCTCCCTCAGGGACATCTGGTTACCTGTGGAACGTGATCATTACTGTCAGCCCTTGGCTGTGGGGATGGATGTGTGCAAGGCATGTTCCTACAGAAAGCAGACCTGTGGTCAGCCTATGTGTGTTTGTGTGTGTGTGTGTGGGAGGGGGGGAGGTTGGGGAGAACCTCCAGAATGTCAGTGCAGCTCCCTGGTGCATTCTGGCCTTTGTCGCCTGCAGGAGGCCTAGTAGGTGACAGTGTCTGGTGGGAGTGGAGAGCGCTGGGGGACAGGGTCAGAGGCGGCCCCTGAGCTCCAGGCCTGGGAATCCAGGAGAAACCAGGGCCCACGTGGCCGCGTCTGCAAAGTCTCTGCCCCGCATACACGAACTTGGGTGGGAATTACGTAGACTGGTCCTGCTTCATAGCCATTTTCTTAACTTCCGGGCTGTGTGCTCTGGGGTTGACAGCTTTACCACATGGAAACCTTCACACATAACCCAAGTGCCCTGGGCTGCTCAGCGAACAGAGGAGGCAGGGACGCGATGCTTCCTCAGGGCCCCGTCCTGACGGTGCCACTGGCCACTGCCACGCCTGGGCGCAGCCTGTCCTGGCAGCACCGCCCCCCTCCTGGGACCCGTTCCCCTGGGAGAGGTGAAGAGCGAGGGTCTCGCCATCATAGTGCATTTCTGCACTTTGTTCTTCCCTTCCATCGGCCACGAAACCTGCGTTCCCACGGGAGCAGGCCTCACCCTGGAGGAGGGGGTGCTGTGTCCCCCTGCACCTCCCTGGCTGCCGCTGAGGCTGCCATGAGCCAGCTCCCCAGCCAGGGCTCCTCTTGGGACCCGAGCCCTGTGCGTCCCCTTTCCAGCGCCCAGGCTGTTGGCGATGCCCCACTTTTTCTCCCCGCAGCCAGTTCCTTGGGTTTGCAAGAGGCGCTTGGTGAGAGCCAGCCAGGAGGCAGAGTGCCCATCTCCCCACCTGGCTTTGCAGGGGCCAAGCCTGTGCACAGGGCAGACCGTCCAGCAAGATGGTAATGAACGGGAGAGCAGAGGCCAGGACACAGCAGGCTGCTGGCCAGGGGCCTGAGTGAGGCCCCTGGCTCAGGGGGCAGGGGCACGGGGCCCTCAGAGCTGCTGCCTGCACCAACCAGCCTCTCTATTTGGCTATGACTCCAGGTTCCGGCTTTCCCGCTATCCCCCATCAGGAGGGCGGGCCAGCAGGGGGGTGAGGACCCCCCCACACACACCCCCCTACCCCCAGCCAGGCCCTCCTCCACTCCCTGCGGCTCCCCCTACCTCTGGGGAGCACCACGCAGTATGCCTGGTTCCTCTGCTGCTGCCTCAGGTCCTGGTACCGGGCCCGCAGGAGCTGGACGCTGAGTGGGGGGCCCTGCCCCAGGGCCCGCGCCCCTGCGCCCTCGGCCATGAAGCAGGACCCCAGCAGCCAGAAGTGGGCTGGGCACAGGCCCGGGCAGGGCAACCCTTTCATCTGGATCCGGGAGGAAAGCAAACACGGCTGAGCTGGGCGGGGAGGAGCTGGAGGAGTGGGGGGTGGAGGGGAAAAGGGGGGAGGGATGGGAGGGAAGCTGGAAAGATTCAGGGAGGGGAAAGATGACCGGCAGGGAGGAAAGGGAGAAAGAGGGAGCTATTAGGGGGGAGAGGTAAGTGAAAAGAAGCAGAATGGAGGGAAATGTAGAGAAAAGGTGGAGGAAGGAGTAAATCTAAGGGTGGGGTGGAGGGGTGAGGGGGGAAGGAGGTAGGGGTGTGAGGGGAAGGATAAGTCGCAGAAAGAGAATCAGGAACAGGGGAGGAAGGAGAATGGAAAGAGGGGAGGAGAGAAGGGAGGAAGAGGATGATAGTGGGGGTGGTTAATGGATGAGAAGATAGGGAGGTCGGTCGGGGCAGCCGGAGGAGAAAGGAATGAGTTGGGGGGGAGAGATGGAGGGGTACAGGGGCGAGGGAAGGAGAAGGGGGGTAAAGAGAAAGGCAGGCACAGCTGCTCCGAGTCCTTCTGGGGCTCCAAGGGGCTCCGTGCTCCAGTCCCTCCCGCTCGGTCCGGAAGTTTGGGCTGCACTGCCCAGGGCCAGGCGAGGGCTCCCGCTGCTGCCTGGGCTGCAGCCAGGCGGGAGTGCCTGGTGCCTGCCGCTCACACCTCTTGGCTGGAACCTGGGGATCATCAGCAAACCTGTCGGGTGGGTTGGTTTGCGTTGGAAAAGGAACACCTTGTGGGGCCTCGCACAGCTGGGGCCCCGGGAACGCTCCTGCTGCAGCCACGGCCTGAGAATCCAGTGGCAAAGGGGTCCCCGAGAGGTCCCTGCAGCCCAGCACACGTCTCAGGAGCAAGCCCAGCCCCACACGGTCCTCTCTCCGGAGAACAGAGCCCGGGGAGCCCAGCCTCCAGCCGCCCGCTCCCCCCCCCCCTCCCCGCTGACTGGCAGACACTGGGTGCAGCCTCTGCGGCCTCAGCATTCCCCAGCCCAGCCCAGCACTGTTTACCTTGCCCACAGCCAGGGGCCTGCTCCCGCCGAGTGCTCTCTGGGCCTCAGACATCCCTTCCCGTGCACCAGCTCTGACCTCCCTGGCTTCGTTTGGACAGGGGAGTTCCTTCCATCTTCTGAGAGACAAGCCTGTGCTTCATCTAACAGGCCTGCCCACAGGCCCACCGATTCTCGATTCTCGCTGGAGCTGAGAGTAAAGGAAATGACACCCAGAGAATCCTCGTTCGCTCCCGCCCAAAAGACCCAGCTATTGCAGTGGTTGGGCATGGACCTGGGACCCAGGAGGTCTTGGTTTGATTCCCAATCAGGGCGCATGTCCGGGTTGCAAGCTTGATTCCCAGTTGGGGGTGGGGGGAGGCGGGTGCAGGAAGCAGCCAGTAGATGATTCTCTATCATCATTGATCTCTCTCTTTCTCTTTCTCTCTCCCTCTCCCCCTCTCTCTTCCTCTCTGAAATCAATAATAAAAACAAAAACAAAAAAAACAAAAAAAACATGGGGAAAAGATCCACTGTTGTATGAGACTTGAATGCCACTTGTCACCAGTGCACTATCCCGGGGAGAGAATCACTGCCTGGAGGCGGTGGCTTAAGGCCAGCCATGGGGAGGGGGCTCAGGGGCTGGAAGAAGGCAGCGTGAGGGAGAGGTCTGAGGAGGTGAGGCCGGGAGAGCGAGGCGCACAGGGCGGGTGGGACAGGCGAGCCCTGTCCTGGTGGAGGGCTTTCATTCCAAGTGCGTTCCACAGAGGCTCCAGGGGAAGCTCACGTTACCCTGATCTTTAGCCGTCCCTCGGCCCCTCTGCTTCCAGCACTGATCTGCTTTCTGTTTCTATGGATCTGCCTCTTCTGAGACCTCGTTTCGCCTGACTTCTTTCACTCAGTCTGGTGTTTTCAGAGTTCATCTCCGCTGTGGCACATCCCTTTGACAGCGGACAATGTTCCACTGGGGGCAATGGCTTCTGTGTATCCATTCATCTGTTGATGGACGTCTTGGCTGCGGTGAATGGCATCTTTGTGGCTCGTGCTGCTCCTCGGGGCGTTTGGTTGGAATACCTGTCTTCAGGTGCTCCGCCTGGCGGTGGAATTGCCGAGTCATGTGGTTTTGTGTGTTGTTTGAATTGCAAAACTTCCCTGATGGTATTAAAAGATTTTTGTGTCTCATGCTTCGGCTTTTCTGTGGGCGAGCCAAGGGCGCTGGCTTTTGCGTGTTCGTTGGTTCAGGTGTTTGTTTGTTGTTGTTTTTTTTTTTTTTGGAAAGGAGCTCATACTTTATAATTTTTCACCAGGCATTGGAAGTCCATTGTGAAAAAAAGGCATAAAAGTTTCCCTAAATTGGTTTGCTGTGGCTCAGAAGAGTTATGACCGATGCAATGACTGCTTTATGTAGTAAATCATTAAGTGAATTTTAGAGGCAGAGTAGTGATTTATGTGTCTGGAGTCTGCAGCCAGGACACCTGAGTTTGAATCCTGGCTGTGCCATTTACTGGTTGTGGAATCTTGGGCATGTTCCCTAACATAAGAAGCAGCTCTGTCCCTGTCCTGTTTGGCTCAGTGGGTAGAGCATCAGCCCACGGACTGAATTCCAGTCAAAAGCTCGAACCTTGATTGCAACTCCATCTCCCACCCCAGTCAGGGCGTGTGCGATAGGCAACCAATCGATGTGTCTTTCTCACAGCAATGTTTCTCTCCCCACGTCTCTATCCCACTCTCCTCTCTCTCTCTAAAAACAAATCAGTGGGAAAATATCCTTGGGTGAGGGTTAATTAACAAACACACACAAAAGCAGCTCCGTGCCTCAGTTTCCACATCTGTTAAATGGTGCTAATAACAGCACCTTTGTAAGAAAGCAATGTCCTTAGAACTGTGCTTGGACTGAGGTCAGCACTATATGAGCACATTTTAAATGTAAATTCACAAATCGGTCTAAATAATTATCATACCTTTTATAATCATAATCAACAACTAAATAAAAGTACAAGTTCTTCAAAAGGGACAATCTTACTTAGTTTTGACAATGATTCAGACTCACTAACCAGGACAGAACACTACATTAATCCCACATTATCCTCAGGGAACTTCCAGTCCAGTGGCGGGACAGAAATGAAAAGCGAGTTAACTAATACAATTAATTAACAACATAAGCAAAAGATGATTGGAAAAATAAATTTCAAGTTCTCTGGTCAAATATAAATACGTTTTGGTTTAATCACATTTAAAAATTTTAAACAAGTTAACTAACAATTTGCCTAATTATAACTTATGATGTGGCTAGGTGAAGAGAATACCGTAAATAAAGTTACACATATAAGGTGTTTGGGAGAGTTCCTGGCCCTTAGAAAGTGTGCAATAAAAGTTATCTTTTTTAAACTTATTATTCCCATAATTATAATGTATCCAGTTTTTGACCTGTAAAAAAAAAAAAACCCAAAAATCTATCTTAAAGTTTTGTGCCCTCTAGTGGGCACTTTGAGTCATAGCCACACAAACAACTGCGTGTTTTCCATGTTTCAGCTGCTATTTAATGAGCTTCTACTCTTGGGCTGCCCTGCACCACCGGCACTACACAGGCCTGTGACACCGACTCGGGGAAGAACAGAGAACCTAAACTCTCAGACTTCTGGCGGGATTACCTACAGCTGTCCGGCCCGTAAATGTCGCCCTGTCTTGCTACCCAGGCTGCCAGCTTCGGCTTAGAATGCTCTCATCCAAGGTGCAGACCTCTGCTCGGTTGCTGGCTTACACTGTGGGCCTCAGAACACCACACTCAGATCTAGTGCATGTGCCAAATGCCGGGGATATTTACTGAAAGCCCTATGGTTCTTTGCTTGTATTTCCACCAAAGATTTCCATGCATGGAGGTCTTTTGGAAAATGACTTTTGAGTCCAGGAGGTTTTGTGCGTGCCCCCCCCTGGGCTTACAGAAACCAGCCAACTGAGAGTTGTTCAGGTGGCATAATTTCCCTGTGGAGTTTCCATCTATAATTGCTCCCTTTCTGATATTCTGATGGACTATGTTTGTGTTTGATTGGATAGGACCTCTCCAGGATCAGTAAGGCCTCGGGGGTTAAAACATCAGAATGAAAAGACATGCTTTGTGTGAAAGGCTTGGTATTAAATGCAATGCTGTCATTTTCTTTAAAATATATTTTTATTGATTTCAGAGAGGAAGGGAGAGGGAGAGAGAGAGAGGAACATCAATGACGAGAGAGAATCATTGATTGGCTGCCTCCTGCATGCCCCCTACTGGAGATGAAGCCCCCAACCGGGGCATGTGCCCTTACCGGGAATGGAACTGTGACCTCCTGGTTCATAGGTTGTCTCTCAACCTCTGACCATCGCAGCCAGGCACAATACTGTGATTTATGTCATGATTAACCGATGGAAAACCATCACCACCGTCGATGAAAGAACATCCAAACCTAGAGAACGGTTTGTAGGAGCCCGAGCCACATTTTGAGAACAGGCCCAGAAGGAAGAGCTCAGCAGATTGAGAAAATGCTCTGGAGAAGTGGCCATTTTGCAGCTGGTGTGGTAAACATTGGTCACTGAGCTTGTCAGAGCTGCAGTCCACACCGCCCTCCTCCCCACAGCTGGCCAGGTTGTCATGGAGCCCCTTTTCCATCTACACCCTTAATATGAAGCACATTTGTGTTTTGCCGGAAATAGTCTGCTCTTGAAAGGGTTAAAGAGTCTCTCTTTCGCATCGTTATCCAACAAACACAGTATCATCCAGAGGTTTTGTCCTTTCTGATTAATTTTCTGGTTCCAAGGCTATCATTGTCTTTTCTGGCGAGGTTTAGCCCAGAGCTACACTTGTCACCTCTGAATTAAGTGTTTGACGTGAATAATTCTCTTTGTCACTTCAATGTTTTCCTCCATCACTAAAGAGTCATTTAGGAAGCAGTAGGAAGTTGTAAGCATTTAATCTGACCTGAAGTTCAAGGAGTGCACTGGATAAGAATACTTAGCCATTTGCACGAGAAATTAAACCTTC